AGTGCAGTGAATGTATTTGTGCTGAAACTGGAGCTGTGGTCTTCACACTTCAACATGCTAAACATGAATGAGCCCTTCAAACATGAATGAGCCCAGATCTAAAAAAAAAACCTTCACCCAGATCTGTAAAAACCATCAAAGAGAAAAGGTTTTATCCCAAAACAATTCTGTGACCACCTGAAAAAAATGGATGCAAAATGTAACAAATCATCATCTTCATTTCAGCTGTTTCCTTCAGGCAGAAAACTGAGAGCAAAATATGAGCAGGTGGACTTGACATGGAGAAAATCACCACAAGACTTGACTTGGAATGAGCAAATTCAAAGCTAGGTGAAAGAACAAAGACTCTGGGAAACAGAGATAAGTACTGTACGTTCTTCTGACATCCCATGCACTCAAAGTGAATATAAACATTGGTTCCACAAGCCTCTGTGACTTGGCTTTTTTCTCAAATGGATATCCAAAATTGAGGAACAAAAATATAGGTTTATTCCATGCTGAAAAGAGAAGAAAAGAAACACAACGTTTCAGCTGTAGAGCCTTCTTTGGGTATCAACGTGTTTCCTTTCTTCTGTTTTCAGCATGGAATAAACCTATTACTTGTTCCTTTGCAGCCTACGCATGCTGACACAGCTACCCACCTGAACTAATCCAAAACTGAGTTCAAATATCATTCTTGCCTTACAGATATTCATCTAATGAGTTGTATGAGACTACCCTATTCACACTATGACCCAGATCTCACTGCATTCTATGTCAGTGTGCATTCACAGGGATCGCACTAATTGTTGAGTGTTTTACATAGCAAACAGTTTTCGATTGGTGAGAAAGTAGCATTTGGGCTCATGTTCTGTTGCATTTAGATTCCAAAAGTGAATTTATATAAAAAAATCTGTAAACCACTATACTGAATTATGATGTAGAAAATGCTTTTTGTTGTTGGCAGGGTGGCACTGTGATATGGTGCATGCAGGTATTATAAAATGACAATGTGCATTATGATCTACGGTGTGGTGTAGTTTATTTGATCTTTTTATGTTCCACCAGATAATTCATTTAAGCATCTGAGAGGTCTTATATTTCGATCTGTAAAATCTGGTCTGTGATGTATCTCTTTATGCATACACATCAACACTCTATCTTATGTATAGACTAGCTAGAGTATGGGCATATTTTCTGGTGAATTGAATTGGATTGGATTGAAATTGAACTGAATTGGATCTGAATTGAAGTAGATGAACTCATATATGAATACAGGTATTGCAATGTGTGTGTGCATGTAGTAATTCAGTGATTTTATTTACATATACAATATGTAGGATTTTGCAGTTTGAATTTGACAAAAAAAAAACTTGTTCTAGATGTAGGATTTTTATTATGCAATTTAAATGAGCCATATAGTTGTCTCTGAATGTCTGTCACAAGTTAAAATAAAGTCTGAAAACGATGAAAGAAAATTCCTGTTTTTATGAGTTTTGTAATTTATTAAGTTTTAAGTGCTGTCTGGCTTCAAGAGGAAATAATATTTCCAGTGACGTTCTAAATTCATAATAACACAGACTAGCAGGAAAACATAATTAATAATTGCAATATTTTTTCCTTGATGATACTTAGCTCTATCCAAACGACCTTGACATGTGAGACAGTAAGCTGAGTGCGTCATTTTTACCTCAGGGTTCCAGTCTGTCAAATTAGTTTCCTTTCTTTGCTCTTAGAACATCTGCACTACTCTACTGTAATTCAGAGATTTTACAAGACTGACAAACAAAACTCTTTGCAAGATATTCCCAGATGGTTCTGATGGAGCTAAGGTCACAGTATTTTTTTTAAATGTTATCATTTTGTTCTTCGTGTTTTTTCTTAGGTAAAAAAATTGATGTGACACATTTAATGGCTTGGGTACTTTCTAGAAAGCAGTACCAGAGAAATGTACAAGATGACTTTAGGCATTAATGATTGACACAAGATTACTGCCTTCACTGAGTATGAGTATGATATGTGGACATTTTTTTTAGAAAATGTTAGTTCTAGTGTCCTCCATTTCTACCTCATGGTAACTCTTGAGACTGAAATTAGAAGTGGAACAATGCATTAGTGATGACAAATGTGTGCGGCAGAGTTTTCACCCATAGAGGTGACCAGTCTTATTTGGTACACATGTAAAAGGGACACAGCATTGATGATACAAAAATATCTGCGTCCAGCAATGCTACCAAATAATAGAAATCATTAAGGATGACCTAGACATAGTCAGTCATTAATAAACCCAGCTACAACATTCAACATCAAAGCAACATATTCCATGGGTGTCATGAAAGACTATATAACCTGTTTAGTCATTAAGTTATCATAAAAGCAACATCATCATAGCTCATCACCAGGCTGCATCATTACAATTTTCACATCAGCATGAATGACATCATCAAGGATAGTGGCAGACAGGTTAGTTTTATGATGGATCCCCAGACTGTGTTTCATTTGGCTATGCCCAAGATTGCTGGAGAAAACTCAAAACATTTTTAAATGGACAGAGATGTCTTAGTGAAGGAAGCAAAACTATGTGGGTCGTAATGCCAATGTTAGGAGTCTTATTGCTGTCAAGGTAAATTTACTGTGTAGAATTAATCTGATCTGCACTCCACTAATTCTTACGGGAATCTGAACGTCACTGAACTTGTTCAACATGGTAATAAGAAAAGATTGCTCTGTAATAAACTAGGATAAATATCATGCATTGGCCCAATTTTTCTCTGAATTTATAGAATATTTCATGGTACATATGGTAGCAATCAATAGTAATAGTATAATAGTAGTCCAGTACATCAGTTGTATATGAAATTCAGTTTGGTAGTTATAACTTGAAAAACAATACAAAACACATATTACTTCAGATTGATTGCAAAAACATGTTATTGGACACCGAATAAAAATATTGTCACACACACGAAAAGATAAAGTATATCCCTGTTCTAGAATATATCTGTACATACCTGTATCTGGGATTTCCCTCTTGCTGATTGATTTCATCCTGACTACATGGTGCTGCATTGATCTGTCAAGCTTATCCAGACATGACCACACACCAGCAGGACAATGTCTACCACATGCTGCTCATCAAGGGCTTAGAGACCAGTGAACAGGCACATGCTTGTCCTTGCTCTAGGAGTGGAATGACATAGATCCCAATCTGATCCTGTACTAGCCTAGCTTTTGCACTATAGACACCCTGTTGATGAGAAATGTTGATCAACATGATTAATTTACTTATGGAAGTACTGTGCAATAAAATACCATTTTATCTGCCACTGAAAATGATTTCTTATTGTCTTATTAAATAATAACAGCAACAACAGCAACAATAATAATAAGATGCCATGAAGAAAAAGACAAACACGATCATACAGGTTCATTCAGATGTAGGTCAATCAGATACAGGCTGTAGTAAAGTTTTGAGTTTGCATTTGAGGAGAGGCAGAGACTTTGTCTCTTGTAAAGTCTGACGGATGGCATTCCATAACATTGGAGCAGTGACAGAACAAGGTCTCCAAAGGTCTGTGATTTAGTCCTATATACAGTACACTGATCAATGGACCACCCTCAACTGAACAGAGCCTAGTGTAAACATGAAGGAGATGTACTGTATAATGGAGCCAGCTTTTATAGTGCCTTACAAGACAATTACAAGATCTTATATCGGATATGTGACTTAACAGACAACAATTATAGAGATGTAAGTGTGGGATTGAAAATGCTGCCAGGGTCTGATGTAAGTTAGAAGTTGTACTGGATTTTTTCACATGGGGCTCAAAGGACAGAGAAAGATCCAGTGTGACTCCCAGATTCCTGACTACCATTGCCTTTAAAATTGTAACACATTCACATTCTTATGAAGTCTCTAGTACAGTATGTCAAATTTTAGAGACTTCATAAGACAGTCACATAGCAGTAAGTACTTGTCTGTCTAAAGGAAGACAACATTATGAACAAGGTTGTGTCATTGCACTTGATGAGTTATGTGCTTCATTACTTCTGTTTGCTTTACCGTCAAACCTCTCTTGTTGTTTGAAGGGTTTTTTGATACCAGACTTTTCCTCAGTGGTAGGGAATGGTACTGTGAGTTTTGAGTAGTAGTAGTACAGTATGAGGTAATTCTCCACTTCAAGTTTTAAACATAAAAAAATAAAAAATACAAGTTCCTGAATTCTTAATAATGAAATGTATTTTAATAAAAATCTTATGTAGAAAGTGTATTTTTTTTATTTTGTGTGTGCAGATCAAATATGATACAGCAATAATATGGCTGTGTTCTTTCTTTATATAAACACATTTAAAATTAATAGAGCACAAAGGCTGTAATAAACACCAGCACAGCAGTATTATTAACCAATAAAATGCATAACAGAATTGTTATGATACTGGTTGGTAGTGAAAATACTGGAAATAATTCAGTTTGATTTTTGAATTTGTATACTGTGGTGTGTAAAAATAATTATTTATTAACAACAATGTTCAAATCTGACTAACACTTTTTTTTTTTTTTTTTTTTGGTATTTTGATGAAATCCAGGTAATGGACTGATGCCTTGTGAATTCTGTTCATCAGATAGCAAGCAGTCTTATGTCATCAAAAGGAAATTGTGTGAGCACATAGCATACATTAAAAATCCATTCTTTCTCATTCTTTCATCCAGTCTCAGTAGCAGGTGATGCGCTTTTTTGAAAGATAGTTCCTGAATCTAAACCCTTTGCCTTTCTCTCCAGCTTTTCTACACACTTTTGCATTGTTTCCTATTGCAATGTATGCCATCTTGAACAACTTTTGACATTTTTCTTCTGCTTAAAAACCAAAAGCTCGTAAATAAACAAATAACTACAGTAGTGAGAGATCTTCCAAATGCAGCAAATATTGATAATTTGAAAGCACTACTGCCATTAACAGTAATCACCACCCAGAAAGAGAGAAAGCAGAATCCATGAAATAAGAAAGAAGTAGTTTCTTACCTAGCATGCGAACACATAAAGAATTCTGATCTGGACTTTCAAATGAGATTGCTCCACACCTCTGTAAAAACAATCAGAAGAATTCATTATTAATATTATCAATACTTCTACTAATAATAACGCAGGGTGATAAGGTGGTACAGTGATTAGCACTGGTGCCTCACATTGCTAGGGCCCTGGGGTCTATTCCTGGGGTGCTATCTGCATGGAGTTTGTATGTTCTTCCAGTGTTTGTGTGGGTTATCTCCAAGTGATCCGGTGTCATTCCACAGTCCAAAGACGTATACTGATAAGTCTATTGGATTCTGTAATATTGGCCCTGGTGTGAGCGTGTGTTATGTCTGTGTGTGCCATGCAATGGACTGGTGTCCCTTCCTGGGTGTAACCCACGTTGAGCCTCATGCTTATTACAGCCTGTGACAGAAAGCTTGATTATGCAGGATTATTTCAAACCTATAATAAAATGCTAAAGAAGATCATGAGAACTGGAATACTGATTTAATATCCACCTGTACTATTTATTATCCCCAGCTACATAAAGAATTTACTACACTCAGTGATGTGCATCTCATACTGAACATAGAGTTTTACAAGTTCAGTATTGGGAGGCATGGTTGTGTGGATGTTAACACTGCCGTTTCTTGGTTCCTGGGTTTGATTACGGACTCTGGTTGAAGTGTAGAGTTTGCATGTGATTTCAGCAGGTGTTCTGGCTGCCTTCCAACTTCCAAAGGCAGGCAGTTAGGTTTAATAAATGTCTCTAAATCGTCCCTGTGCACCTGTGTTCAAACTTTCACACTTTTATGGGTGAAAGGAAGTTAAATGCCAGCAAAAACTGAAAAAAAAATTCAAAAACTAAAGTTTTGTCTAATAATTTTCACCATTATACACACTATATAAGCTATTATATTATTGTTTTCAAAATAATCATGTTGTGCGTTGAAACTTCAGATGGTGAGATTAGTTGGTTAATTCTATCTCTATCTATCTCTATCTCTATCTCTATCTTTTCTAAAGTACAAAAATCCCAACTGTGAGCCATGTAGTCCTGCTATTAATAAATTACTGTTTATTTCTGTGTGTCTGAAATAGAGCTTTTGAACTCCATCTACTGGTCAGGACAACAACCATCAACTTAAAAAGTTATAAATATGATATGGATTAATTTCCAACTACACCTGATGACATAGGTTTGCTCATGTTTTTTTTACAGTCAAAAAGACAGACACACTCAATATCTGATAAAATAACTAAATTAATACTTGCAAATTAAACAGATAGTGCTTTGAAGCTTTGAAGGTTTTACATAATAAAACAAAATGTGCATAAATTATCAGACACATAACAATGGAGACAAAAATTAAAGTAGTGTACATCTTCAAAAATAGATTGAGTACCAATTACATTCATTATCACTGAGAATGTAATAAAGCGCAGATCCCATGCTAGATTATTTGATGTCAACACTGAATTGACACAACATGTTAATCTCTGTAATACATTTCTTTATATTCTTAATGTGACAAAATGAGGAATCAATCTTCAGTAATATACTTGGATAGTATTTAGGCTTGATTGCTTTAAAGCTGATATTAATACAGGTATGATATTAATGAATAAACTCATGCATCTTGTATGACATATCCTATTGTTGCACTATAACAGTATGCACAGCAAGTATCATATTAACACCTATTGAACTGTTTTCTTAAGAAGGCCTATTTGAATTTATAAGCTTTTCAATATTCAAATGATAATTCATATTTAATTCCAATCTGGCAGGAGGACTACTTGTAAAAATATTTTAAATCATGTGGAAACTTGTCGATAACTTAACAGGCTGTGGAAGATTTTGCTTGTTATTTTATTTCACAGAATATTAGCAGGGGAGCAAGGATTGGACAGCCTTGTGCATTTGGAATCACAGAAGCTTGTGCATGGAATAAAAAGCACAAAAGCAGTTTTAAAATCTGGTAAGTTCCAAATTTTTAAAATCTATCTTCATTGACATATGTATGTGCAAAAAAACGATTCTCCCCCTTAAACCAAAGTGAAATGCCTTACTATAACTCTGAGTGAAGCTTGAGTCCATGACTGTACCCCACCCCCATCCCCCATACATTCAAAGTCATCCTTTTTTTCTTACATATTTTATGATGTTACGGAAGCTCTTTGTGTATTGTTAGAATTAGTTTGAACGGGGAAATCCTTTGTGTTTTTTATGTATATGTTGTCCACATCCTGCCAAAATGTTTCCATACCATTTGCCACGCTGAACAATAGAACTGTGAGCAGATATGCTTTATTTTTAAACTTCGGGAAGATTAACTGATTGGCAGTTAAAGGAGGAAAAGGCATATCTCATAAAAATGAATACCATTCAACACAAAATTGTGCCTTGTATTTTGTTGTCTGTGGTGTGGAAAAGTAAATAAATAATAGTAGTCTTTTCATCTATAAAAAGGCATACTCTTTAATTTCATAATCAGATTTTGTAAAAATCATTCAAGGCTGAGTTTATACATAAAAACACTGAAATTACATTAATGTTACACTTTAAATATTAATTATGAATTTCCCAGTATTTAAAATTAATTTTCTTAATATGTAAGTTTTCTTGCTGACAATCATTCTGTGTTTTTGTTTCTGCATGCTTTGAAAATCTGCATTTTATATTCTGAATATCATTCTGCAGTCTATGATAGGTTATGATTTGGATATTTTGTGTTACTATTTCCTAGCATGATTCCCGAAACTAAGCAAGAAAGGACTCATTAGTACTGGGATGGAAGATCTCCAATGAAAATCAGTTTGCTGCTGTAAGTGGTGGACCAGTTAGTAGCACTCATCTCTCTGAACCACAATTTCCAAACCAATTGATAAGAATGGTGACCAAGGACTCTGTCCCATAGAAAGTGCTAGCTTTCGAGTGACTTTAGCTTCAAGTTAAGCTAAAGTCCTATTTAGTAGTTGCAGTGAAGAGAAATTGGAGATAAGTAAGAGAAATAAGGGTAATAAAATTGGTATTGCTCTTTTTTCATATGCTGTAGTTCTCTCAGGTGTAACTTCACACCTAGAAGCCTGAATGCATGATGATACATGAAACAGAAACAGTGGGGTGTCACAGAGCAGACATACAGTGTGAAAAGTACCAGATCAAGACTATAAAAGAACACTCAAAACGTTCATAAATCAAACAACAAGAATACTAATTGTGTTCAAATTCCAGGAGTAAACTCCTCTTAAATGCTATCTGTACTCTCTTCGTAGTACTGGTATTTACTTCAAAGTGGCTTATTCACTGACTGACCAAGCAAAAAGATTAAAAGCATGTAACTACATTATCATGGAGGTCAATCAATTAGCAACCATTGAGGCACCATAATCATATCAGCCGGGTGGGTTAATCAGAACCCATGTCACGGAGTACACAACTATTATACCCTGAAGATATTTTTAAAACAAAGGAAAACAAAAGTTATATAAGGTCCTGCTACCAGCAAATTCCAAACACATCCCTTGGTGGTAGCTCTTTCTTTGCCAGAGGCATCTTGTGTCTTTCCACTGAAAAGCTGCCATGAAGTTTAGATTTAACCTGGAGCAAAATAGCAAAAGTAAAAACGAATTACCACAAAATCTAAAACTCTCTTTGGGGCACAATTTTGTAAAACTTCATTGACATTCTCAGATGATATACACGAGACCAAAACAAGACGTGTAAGAGATTCAAATGTTTCACCACAAAAGAGGTAAGTGAGAACCTTGTTAGAGATTTCGCACAGTATGACTCGGAGACAGACAAAATGAGACTATGGTCAAGATCAAATCCAATCTTCACCTGCCCTACTCATAGCTAATTTCCAAAAGTACCACTTGACTATGACATCAAGACACAACCAAGCAGTTTGATTTACATTTGATATTAGTAGAGAGGTCAAATGTTTGGATAGATTCAGTTCTTTTGACTGGAAAAAGGGAACTGTAGATTTACTTTTGTTTAAATCTGTGTTGTTTAAATCTCTTGTTTCTGCTCTCAAACCATTTCCCCTTCCTCCGAGAAGGAAATGCAGCCTAAAAAAGTGAATAACAGGCAAACAGATTCTATCAACCATTCATGCAAATGAGTAAGCTCCAGAGTACAGTGATCACAGCTTTAATTTATTATCATTAGATTCGGTGGTACCAGAGCTTAACACCAGAATTATGTTTGCTAACATAATCAAATCAGTCTCACTCCAAGCCTATGTTGCCAGTCCAAGAACATCTCTGCAAACTTGTTCTGCACAAAAAAGAAGATTGTGTTTTTTGCACCATAACTTAAATTATTATTTTATATTGATTTTTGAATGATCAAAATTTTCCACATTTTAAGAACAAAGCAAACAACAATATATTTGGTCTATTCAGGTATTCAATGCAGGCTGCTTTCTCACTGATTATGATATTTATAAGAACATATTTTTAAAAAAATTATATTGTGGTTAAAAAATTGTATTGCTAATTCCTTAATTTAAGTGTTGTGTTTTTTTTTTACTCTACTAAGCTAATTACTTAGTGGCTAATATATTGAACCACCAATATACTGCAGATGTAGAATTAAAACTGAAGTAATATAAGAGGTCTATATATAGGTCTGTTCTGGTTAAATTGCTGTTTCTCCACATACTGTAATTCTATTTGTTTTTGTTAAATTTACACACTTGGGCGAAAGTGAAACAAGCAAGTCTTCCAACAGGAGTATGTGATTAAAGACTAGATTAAGTCGGCCCCACTATGGCAACAGCAGAAGCATGAGACGTGCACTATGTAAAATGAATAATGTTTACATTCAGTCCTGGTCTCTTGGTTCCAAGAAATGTAGCCATTATTAATGTTTGTCTGTCCATGAAAGGCAAGATCCTACTTTATGGCATTTATATAATCTTAGAGCATTATAAAGGCTTAAACTATTGTTAACAATGATAACAGACAATATACAGTATTGCTGCAAAATGAGTGGACTTAATGAATTTAAATCATGTGGAAAATATAATTTTATACTGCTACAAGGGAATTACCCAT